GTGCTGCCCAGCTAAGAGAGAGAGGGCAGGGAAATGGTTTTACCTCTGGGAGCTCTCTGTAGATGTCTCTTGGCATTAAGCAAATAGTTCCCTTATTTTTCTGTTATACTGGTCATAATGGCACTCTTCCCTCCGCCCCTTTTCCCATGTGCAAATGTTCCTTAAAATGAGATGCAATTCTCCATGGAATTACTGAAAATACAGGTGCAACGAAGAGCCAGAAAATGAGAGCTTTTCTTTAGCAGTCAGTGTGGCCCTCATACAAAAATGACTTTCATAGTTACTCTACCCCGTGTAATTACACAGCAAAGCCCCATTTAACATCTCACTACGTAATGGCAACTTTCTGTTTCCAATCAGATTAATGTAAGAGTTACCCAGCCATTTTAAGAGATAATAGCTGTAATTAAGGTGTTTCTCGTGATGGGTTCCTATTATAATGTGGCAGCTGATTCTCTGATAGTCTTATTGGCTGCATTAGTCACAATTGTTTTCATTAATATTGACACTATTGTCTTGCCACACAAACAGAAAAGCAGATTAATCAAAAATTGGTGCTGGTTTCCTATGCTCTGAGCCCTTCTTTTGGGCTGATGCTCAATTCTTAGCTTTCAGTAGGAATAAAAAGCCGTTTTTGGAGGATGTGCAGGCAGCTTCACCCATGTTATTTAAAGCAATATTGTGAGAACAAAGGGAGAGAATTATTTTGCTGAAAATCTGAAAATAAAGCACCGCCAAAACTTAGATGTTACGATTTCTAAACATCTCATTGGTTCCAGTTTGGGTGTCAGTGATGTGAGATGCTGGAGTGTGTTCAGGCTGGGGAATGAGGTGAGCGTGTGTATTTGGGTTCATTATTCTGGGAAAAAAACTGCACAGACCAAGGGGCAAGCTGGCACATGAGCAATTTGGGATTGTGAGGCTGGCTCAGGAAATTGGGGGTCTCCAGCGGCAGATCTCCATGGTGATGGCTCAGGATAAGCAAGCAGCTTGTTGAGGTTCAAAATGATGGGAGAAAAGATTGTGTCTCTGTAGCATCATTTGCAGTGAAACCCATGAAGTTAAACGAGGGACGGGTTTGAGTTAAAAAGCCCCATAAATGTTCATTTTTCACGGGTATCAGTTCTACACAGTCAACTGAAGCTGTCGGAGGCAGTGTCTCCTGAACAAAGTTGTCATGACAAGTTATCCAGAAAAAAACTATGTCAAGTGCCAAAAACGAGAAGGACCGAGACGAGCAGGGAGCATGACGGGAGTCCAACTCACAGTGAAAAGGGAGGCAAAGGAACAGCTTTGCTTTGAGGACATTCACACATTGATTTCCAGATCCAGCAGTTTGCCAATTAAACAAGGAAAGGCAAAAAAACAACCTTAAAATGGCACATTTGGGAGCAGTGTGCATATTGACTGCTATGCTTGTGGTAGCTAAATGCCTTATGGAAATATACCTGTTAAATATGATAATATAAGTCAGCTAAAATTGATTCAGTAAATTTGCATACTATGAAGAAATAGAAAACCGTGAATCTCTTAATCCCATTTTTCTAGAGAAAAACATGAAAATACCGAGGGAAAATATCTTGGAAAACATTTTCATGCACTTTCTGCATTCAAATTGTAGTTGCCAAGATGCACGCTCCTAAATATTGTGATACCTGCAGGATTTTGTTGGCAGAGGATGCACTGATCGAACAGCCCCAAGCCTTCCTCACATATCTTCAATATATTTACGGCACAGAAGGCATCACGGTGTGTAAATGCTTTTGGTTTTGTAGGCAAGATATTTTCATATAATTAATGTAAAGCAATTCTTTTCCTGTAACCATTCAAATGTGAAATAGTATCTCATGTTTTGGTACATAAGATACTCCACACTGCACATTAAAGCATGCTTCAAATTTGCAAAATGGCCAATAGCTATGTTTCATCAAAATGTATTGCCTATCTGTGTATCTATAGCAGCTTAAAGGGATGAAATCACCAGAGCCTGAGACCAAAGGGCCTTACAGATCATTCATTATTGAAATGAAAATAATAATAACTTTAAAAAAAAAAAATCTCTTCAAGCAAGGAACACGTCTTTTCCGCGGGAAGTCTCAAAATGCCTGCCTCCCGCAATAACATCAACTTTTAGAGGCTAGAGGGTTATAAGATCATGGCTCATTGATAATTGCCTTGCTGACCTTTTTAACGTGGGCTCAAATCCCACTGCATCTCCTGACATTTTGTTTTGCTTATAGGGGATCTGCAGCTCACTTGGGCTGGAGTCCCTCTGGGATATGGCTCTCCCCTACGATCCCTGCAAACAAGGCAGTGTGCATGCCTGTTTTCCTGCTCTCTAGTCGCTGCTCTGGACGCAAAAAATATCCTCATGGGAATACAGAACTAAATTTAAAAAAAAAGCAAAACATGAAAAACCCTCTTCTGAGTTCTGTATGTAAACTTTTCACCTACTATCCCCGTTACTTTTTACTAAAGTTTTTTGTAAAATGCTCTTGTAAACTCACTTGCTGAAGGCTATGCATTCCCCTATTTCAAGCCAGTAAAACTAGTTTCATGAAGTTGCAGAGAGGAAGGCTTCAGCAAACTCAGTATTAAAAAAAAAATCACAAATTTGTACAAAAGAAGGAAAATACATTGTGACACCAACGTATCAGATTCATTACTGCTTAGTGTCTCTTGAAAAAAACCTGTTGGCTGTAGAGGATGTGAAAAGCATAAGGTTTCAATAAAGATAGATGAAGTGTTGTATAATTCTTGAATTAAGAGCTGTGGCTGTATACAGTCTTTAAAAGACTATCTTTATGTAGGTTAAAAGTTGCTGTATTTTTGGTGAGGCAGGGCAGGATATTCTTGAATTTATACTTCAATAAATGAGAAAAAGTTCTACTGATATCAATAGGCTTAAACAGGGGTGAAACAGAATGGACCTGTTACCATCAAAAAATACAAATAGCATAAAGAACATATATCTACAGGTGGAAATATATTGTAAGGGATGGTACAGAAATTGCTCCCATGTCCAAAGTAATGGAAGCTGCAGTTTATAAAATAATAATAACAATGAGAACAATATAAAGGCTGAAAGAAGAGAGAGAAACAGAAGAATATACTTAAAGGCATAATTATTTAGGCTGATAAGTCACATCCTGTTGGAGGTACGATGAAAAGATAGTTGGTGATGTGCCCCACTATATTTGTTGTGCAAATTCTTCAGGATGGAGATAAAGCATGTCTGATAAACAGCGGTGCGTGGGATTTCTCTGATGGCTTCCTATCTGTTGTCATGCACTCCTGACCACAGCTCTTCCCTCAGATGGAAGCGAGCGTCCATGAGTAAAAGTGCATCCCTGATGCCTTGGGGAGCTGCTGCTGAGGCCTGATTCCTTGTTTATCGTTGTTCTGAACCATTGTAAATCTCTGTTATTGCGGTTGTGGTTTGCGTTGCTGCCAGGGTGATAACAAGCAGTTTTAGAGCTTAAAGCCCTAGTTCCGTGCTGGGGTGAAACAGCACTTAGTACTTGTTTGGTCTGTGAGCTTATCATCAGTGAAATTAGAAAATGAGCATATCTTGTGGTGTTCTGACTGGCACTGACGGGATGTTTTTAAGGAGAGGCTTGTCCCTATCCTTGGGGACAGGCAGGGCAGCATTTCATGGGGGCAGGAGAAGAACAGCAACCCTTTTTCTGAGCTGCTGGTGTGCTTGTGGGCAGAGACATTGCTAAGGGGACCCACAAGCGGCGGCAGTGAGCGAACACCACAAGAAGATGAGCAAGTTGTGTATGTTCTTAAGCGCTTTATTGAATCAGCATCTCATCTCTATTTGTGTTGACTGAAGGTAATTTCTGATTAATTTTTATAAAACCGAGTATAAAGGGAGTGTTTCATTATACTGCCTTGTGCAAAGTGCATAACCAGAAAGACACTTGTGTCAAATCTGGGTCTCTCATCTGTAGGAGACAGAAATGCTGAAATGTGCAGGAGTTTTGCCAACAATCCTTCCTCCACAGTTTTCTCATTGGAAATTAAGAATTATTTGGGCATGATAGCGTAGGTGTGGCACTTTCTGAATATGCTGTCAAAGCCTTTGGAATAGGGAAATATGTGGCACAAATGATGCTGCTGCCATTAGGCTCCAGGATTACACTCATGGCCTGGGAGTGATGGGAAGCTTTAAATTCAATAAAGGTTACAAGTATTTACTAACTCTTACAGATTTAAAAAAATAAGCATGTGCTTAAGAACTTTGCACTCATTAGGCTTCTGTCGTTCCAGTTTTTCAGTTTATGGAAACCTTGTATATTCTGACCGTTCAGTTTGGGTCAGAAGAAAGGCTTCCTCCAGAAGTGATGTTACTCCATGGCTTCATCCTGGAGGTGATATCATTTCCTGGTGTGTGTGGTTTCCCCATGAGAAGGATCTATCATGTTTCATTTCCTGGCAGATTTAAACACCACAGCTGATAGGCATCACAAAACCTCTTGCTATTTGATGCATTTTACCTAAAATGGCTACTAGGTATGGTCTGCCAGCCTGCGGCAGATGGCTTTCTGCATATAACACATAAGCTCCAATCTTACTGAATTTCTGTAACTGCCATTTTTTATTTCTGCACAAATACACTGTCATCCATCCAATATTTTAAATGCACAAAGCACGACACTCACCAAAGTAATGACTTCACACATAAGGCGACCATCAGAAACACCTAGTAGCTGCACTTTGAGAGCACTGACGGGATGTTTTTAAGGAGAGGCTTGTCTATCCTAGGGGACAGGCAGGGCAGCATTTCATGGGGGCAGGAGAAGAACAGCAACCCCTTTTCTGAGCTGCTGGTGCGCTCGTGGGCAGAGACATTGCTAAGGGGACCCACAAGCGGCGGCAGCGAGCGAACACCACAAAGAGTGTGGTGGAGCGGGGAGGCCCTCCATGCGGATCCCACTCTGCCACGTCTTCGTGCAGCCGCTCTCCAGCCCGGCAGCGCGGTGCCCCTGCTCCTCACCGCTCACACAGCAGCACGGACACACTTCTACGAGGAGCAGCAGGCAAATCTCACAAGGGGAACACAACCACGAGCACTCTTCCGGCTACGGGTTCATTTTAAGCCCAAGACACAAAGCCAGTTCGGATTTCTGAATTTTCCCGTCCTTGTTCACGTCGCAGTGGTTGAGCAGGATCTGGCGGAACTTGTCCAGGTCCACACCACTAATGCTGGGCTGCAGGCAAAAGAGAAAAATGGTGCTGAGGGAGAAAATGGCTCTGGATTTCCCCAGATGTAAAGCAGCAGGCCGTGCAGCGACAGGGAAATCCACCCAAGGAGAAGCGACCAAACAGCCTGACCCCACGTCAGCTCATACGAGGTGGGGAAGTGAACAGAGAATGGGGAAAGGATGCCCTGGAAAAACAGAAGAGGTGTGGGACCGTGAGTAACTGTAAGGAAATGCAACATGATTTTTGTGCTTAGTCAAGGCCATCAGTATCTGATCCATGTCAAACAAAAGTCTGCAGAAAGTTGTGCAATACAGATCACTGCACTACTGCACCTGTGCTTTCATCTGGTTTCCTCTCTCAAACCTGCCACACAAGGAGTGATGTGGCATTACTGTCAGCAGCCTACCATTTTACAGGCTAGACAGCAACTTAAAAGTACCTTTAGTGGATCAAATGAATGCCAAAGGCATACTTTACAGGCTATACTGTCTCTGTATGCTCCTAATGCTGTACTGCTTCCTCTGCTTCCCACTTTCTCAGGAGGAGATCAAATTCACATGCACAGCTTGTGGTGCCCAAGGATGATGCTGATGAAGGCCCTTAGGGAAAGTACAACCTTCGCTCCTTTGGACACACGTGCACAGAGCACAAATCCAACATCCTGCCTGTCCTCACACCCTTCCCTACAGACCCTACACACCACGTGGCTATAATGTACGTACACACGCAGCCATCAGCGTACAGCTGCAGTCTCTGCTCTCCGCTAAAAGGACATGGGAGCGCAGCCATCCCTGCGTCCGGTCACATCGTGTGGAAATGCAACAGCTCAGGCTCAGAGGGAGCCAAAGACCAGACTATTTTTGGATCAAAAACTGTATCTTGGACTGCATCTGGAAACTCAAGGTAATCCAATGCAGATGGGCTCTGCTGTCTGTGAGAAACTGGTGACACACTGGGCATGATATTCTTGATTAGAGGTAGAGCTCAAGTCATTTTCAGGTGTAGCCCGGTGATGAGCTAATGAACCATGAGGTCATGCTGGTGAGGATCATATTCACAGTGAAAACAGAAGAAAGAACTTCTAATGACTGATCCACATCGACCAGTTTGTGATGCTGTAACATCTGCCTAATTCAGAGTGTGAGCTAGAATGGACCTTTCTTAAATACAGTTGCTGAGTGAAGGTGTATTAATTTGTCAGGCAGAATTTCTGTGATACGGTGAAATGCTCTAGAGTGTTTATGCTGAGACCATGACATCCGTTTCTGCTGCTCATCAAAGTGAAATTTGACTCTACCTTCTCAGCAGCCCCTCTATTTACATAACTTTACCAAAACAATCATCTTCCTCTTGGAAATATAGGGTATTAATAAATGGAAATAACTACGAAGCTACCTTGACCAGTTCCATCATGTCTTTGACAAACCCATCCACTTCTGGGCCTTCAAGTGCTCCTGTTTTACTCTGAAAGATGGAAGAAACATCAAAATGCTCCAGTAAGTCAAAAGTAGGTCAGTAGGTCCACCTGGTCACCAAGCTTTGTAGCATGAAGATCATAGAATCATAGAATGGTTTGGGTTGGAAGGGACCTTAAAGATCATCTAGTACCACCCCCCCTACCATGGGCAGGGGCACCTTCCACTAGATCAGGTTGCTCAAAGCCCCATCCAACCTGGCCTTGGACCCTTCCAGGGAGAGGGCATCCAAAACTTCTCTGGGCAACCTGTTCCAGTGTCTCACCACCCTCACAGTGAAGAATTTCCTCCTAATATCTAATATCTAAAATCCCTTCCTTATTCCCAAACCATCTCTTCCCCTCAAACAGGAGCAACATCTCCCACCCTTTTGTGAGGCTTGCTGGCCACCACCCTGAGGGAGTTGTGTGACTGTCAGAAGTGGCACTGAATTGCTGATTTCTAACAGGCAGTTAGGTGGTCATGATCTGGCCCGGATAACCTGGGCCAGACTCCCTAAATAACCCTTGGTTCAGTACTGGAAGGGGTTTTATTTTTCAACGTGGTGGTGATGCAGGTCCCAACCTGCCAGAAACTGCGAGAGCTAAAGCCACCACCTCCTCTACATCCCTTGTGTCTCCTGCAGGGAGATACTGCTAAAGCAGCAGCGCTGGCCGTGGCGATGGAGAAAGTCAAAATGGGTCCTTTGCCACGAGGTCTCTGAGCATCTGTCCCCACCTTACCCCCCAGCCTGGCTCCTGGGCCCCCTGGCCCGTGGGCTTGGGCACAGCTGCAGCTCCTGAGTGACCCCCACAGCACCCACCAGAAGGAAGAAGTCTGAGCAGCGTATGTTAAATCTGTGTCATTTAAAGACCGCAAGGGAACGGCCTCTGGGACTCACAACGTCGTAGTGTGCAAAGATCTTCTCAAAATCTCTCCTCCTTTCTTCCGTGCTGCAAGCCTATATGTGGAGAGGACAAGCAAGTGAAAAAGAAAATATAAAAAGATTCAAGTTTGGGGCCAGGTTATCTTAGCTGAGAAAGACGGGATTGATGCATCAAAAAATAGCATTACTTACATCCATTTTAAATTGAAGAAGGAAATTTTCCTGGAGCGCCAGAATCCTGAATGGAGAGATTTAAATTACGATCTTTCCGCTGTATCATCTGCACACAAACTATTCCGAACTCTTCCGGTTCGTAAAGCAAAGAGATTTTAGATTATAGGCCTTTAAAAAAGAAAATCGCCTGCGGGGTTATTTACGGAGGGCTGTTACATGAACACATGCCTCGCTCCCTGTCTGATGGGGAACGGCGGGCACCCTTTGGCTCACTGCAGATGTGTTTCTTAGAACCACTGCTTCTCCCAGAGCATTTCTGGTGGTCCAGCGCAATGGAGGTGGTCAGCCTCCGAAGCGAGAGCTACCAGACAATCATTCCTCGTAACTGGATTGCTGTGCTGCATTAAAGGAAAAAGCAATTTATCGCTCTCTGTTGGAGGGAGAATTGGTGGTTGTAAAAGTAAAGGACAAAGTAATATTGGCCTGAGCACCGAGACTGGCCAAATTCCTCCCCTTTCCCCGCCTCCCTCCCAAAGTCCCTCACAGCACTGATAAAAGCTTTTCTCTCTGCAGCTGCTCTGCTAACCCGGAGGTTTTTACAGCCTGCGACACGGGGTGTGCTGTGCTGAGTCTGCACACTGAAGGGTGTGAGAAATGTGCTCAGATGAGAGGGGAGCCTCAGCTGGCATGGGGCAAGGGGGCAGTAGGGGAACCGTATTTAAGAGGAAAATGCAACAGCAACCCCCTTTAGATATTCTCCATTCTGCCTGTTTCTCTTCATATATTCAGCGGTCAAAGCCAACTGCCACATGCACGGCAGTTATTTGTGCTGGCATTTGTCGTGATCCCAAGCAGAAAGTAACAGTGGCAAACCAGTACCTCTCTCCTCTCATCCCCCAAACCAGTGTTTTAAGACTGTACCTGCACATTTAAAGTCCCATCCAGTCATCGCACATCCATTTACAGACAGAGGCATACGCTCTATCTGTATGTGTGAAAAATCGTATAAAAGCCTCTGAGGTAATAAGGACAGAAAAGAGACAGAGGCCCGTGACTGGGTCCCCAGCTTCATTCACAAGTGTCTTCACCTTGTCTCTCCAAGTCCTTTCTTACTGCCATTGGAAAGCTCCTTTGCGGTGGTACCTTTATTCCTCAAACAAGCAGCAAAAATTCTTTGCAATCCCTGCTGTGCATGATGATGTGAAATAAATGCACATCTCTGACCCTGCTGAAGGGGATTGCCATCCTTCTTTTGGAGAAATGGTGCCACTGGCTGCTTCATCACCTCCTGAAGAGCATCGCAGAGGTAGCACGGATCATGCCAGAGCGTGTTGGTGACGCACAAACAGGTCCTGGCATTGCTCAATGTCACTGGCTCTAGGTTCGCAGACTATTGCAATGGGGATCATGCATTAGAGATCTGGGATACCTACATCAGAGTACCTGATTTAATTTGAAACGAGGTAGGATTCAAATGCATGTCCCCGGAGGGAGTTCATCACCTTGCCTGGATCTGCCATTGCAAGCTGAACAACCCCGTCAATATTATTAAAGCCTACCTTGCCAGGTCATTCAGGTCCAGCCGTCCATCTTTGTTTTTGTCAAAGATTTTCATCTAAAAATCAAGAAGACAGAGAGGAAATAGATAGGCCATGAGGAGAACACACATACAAAAAAGCCAATACACATTTTGCTCTGCCCTGTGCCCTCACCTTTGCTTGCTCAGGGTGCTTGCCCAAGCCCCAGGCAGCACGGCGTCCTCTGCTAGCACCAAGTGCAAGGGTGGCACAAGAGCATAGCAAAACCCTCCTGCTTTCTGACAGCGACAACCCAAGCAATCAAATACCAGCATCGCTCCCTTCTTGCCTTACACAGGGATAAAGACAGGTCTCCAGCAAACGCCTTAAGAAACTAAATACTGGCCTTGCCATGGCCCCTGAAAAAAAATGCCAAAAAACCACTTCAAGCCTGACTCCATCCTTATCTTTGACTGTTGCTGTGGCTACTGAGCGGCTGAGGTGCAAATGTCACCTTCTGATACACACTCAAGTTGGGGGTTTACGCCGCTAAAGCCGGCGGGCTTTGCTTGGCTGGGAGGGAGATTCAGGCTGCCAACGTCAAGAGGTTAATCTGTGTGAATACAAAAGTTAGCCTTTCCTTAATATTATCTTTTTCTTAATACGATCTTTTCGATGAGTCACCGCCAGGTACTATTTATTTATTTGTTGTATGTGGTACTGTGTTTCTCTGCAAGGCACAAATAAGAGTCTGTTACAGGGAAAAAGGGGGAGATGTTTAACGGGTTGCAAACCTGAATAACTTATGCTCAAAGTTCTAGAAAAAATGTATTCCACATTGGGGGGGGAGGGTAAGATTAATATTTTACTACGATGGGTTGCCATTCTTTGTCAGATACTCAGTAATGGAATGTGCTTTAATCTTACCTTCATGAATCTCATTTGCTTATCTAATGTTATAAGTAACCAGGTCACTACAAATCTTTCGTGTAATTAATTGCACACCTACTGGAGAAGGCCCATACCAGTCCCCATCTCAGGAGGCTTAGAGGGAGAGGACCATCCGCTGTGACACAGCCTGACCACGCGGGAGCTGTGGGGAGAGCCAGCAGCAGGTCCCGAGCACTTGCCAGCAGTGAAACTGGGGCAGAGCCTGACGCGTGCATGACAAGAGATATTATTTGAAAAGCTGCAATTTCACAGGGAATCCTTGCATAAATACAATGCCTATTTTGTCAGCGCTGCCTCCTCCCTGCCCCTTGCTCGAGGGCAGGCATCTACACTGAGGATGGTGAGCCTATGGTAACCCTTTATTGCACTGGGTTTAGATAAGATTCTGCAACAGGATCTTATTCCATTAATTTTTCTGCATGATTTACACTACTGAGGTTTGGATAGGATTTTTGAAGAGCACCTGATATGGGTTCACTTTTTCTCCCACTGAAAGACAGTATAAAAGTCCTATGAACGATTGAAGGCTCATACTGAGATCTTTGGAAAAATCATATCCTGTGAGCCATGCGGGTGTTCAGTGGCACAAGGAAAGCCGCTTTCTTGTTTCACTGGCCTCTGCCGAGCATACGCTCTGTGCGGAGCCACTAAATGACAGAAGAAAGTCCGCTGAATCTTCCTTCACCCTAGAGCTGGAGAGATAAATAAAGCTGCTGAGCCATCCTGAGGAATTCTCTCACGCTGCGTCAATCCAAATTGTCCCTCTCCAGCTTATCTAACTTCTTCCATCCTGCCTTTTGCCCCATCAGTTATCCCACTGCAATATGGGATGTTTCCCTGGTCTCTGCTGGGGCCACAATGGGACAAGGCTGGAGGCAGGGATGGGAGTGGGAGCTGCCTTCACTGGTGGCACCAAGAAGAGAAATGTCCTTGCAATGACAGCCTCCCACTGCCATCAGAGAGAAAAACCTGAGCTTTCGGTTCCTGGCTGACAAAGGAGTTATTCTGCAGGCAATAGAAAATGGTTAATGTTCCTTCTAGAAATAAATCATCCCAGATGATAAGATTTTAAAAGCCTCTCTCCAAATGGGACATCAGTGCCTAACCTGGTTTTGTTTGTTGTGTGAGGAGAGCGGGAGATACCCTTACTGGCTCACTTTTGCAGACTCTCCACTGCAGGTGGCTTTGCAACATCCAGCTTATGCTATTGATCTGAAAAATACTCCGTAAAGGAAAATTATGGAGACAACCCCTCTTTAGCCAGCTAGAGAAAGTACCAACTTCTGGGTGGTGGGAATACCATAGTCTCTAGGCTCTACAGTAACTTAAGTGCTTTTGAAAATGTCACTCTAAATCCCTCCGTTTAGGCCACCGAGGAGCATTAGCTACCCACACGGTCTGTAAGAAGTCACCATAAAGCGGCACGCCTGGCGTGGTGGGAGAGGACAGTGTTTGGTGGGAAGCGCTGGGTGAAGCTCTCAGGGGCTCTGCTGTCTGGGGCAGGGCAGCTCTGGCTGAAGGCACTGCACTAGTCTTTTCTTCACACAAAGGTACAATGTGCTTACCAAAACACACTAAAACTTACTGCCTTTAGCACTCTTTGAACTTCACCTGGATTCTGAGTTCCTGAAAGTGTTTTTTATTTTCTCCCATTCTCTGTGCATCTCAGAATTACTCTCTTGAGACTAAAAGCCAGTGTTTCAGCCTAGACTTCAGATTCAGGTACGTTTTTCCCTCTGTTATGCCTCAGGAAAGCAAACACACAGAGCTTTTGGGAGAAGTTCAGCTCCGTGACCACGAGGTCCTGACCTCCGTACAAGCTCGCTGATAAACACCTATAAATGCTGACCGTGGTGGCAGCTTCTGGGACCAGAACAGACTTGGTGGTTCCCAATCCAGAGGCAGACTTAGGGCCCATTTTTCATTTTACGTAGCCCTCTCTGAGACAAGCCATGAGTCTCTTTTTCAGTGAAACACCTAAAGTCTCATCTCGTTTTGCACGGAATAAGTAAATAAGCACCCTAGCATAGCTATTCTTGTCTTGGGACTTTGAGTGTCCCACCTGCCCTGCATTTGCTCTACTTTGTGGGTGCAGCATGTTTTCATGGTTTCAGATGTTGCAAATAGCCAGGAGGCTGAAAAGCTTTGTGCACCCTTAATGAGACAGGCTAGATTAGAGGTGATGGTTTAGATGTGAAAGTCTTTCTGCTTCATTATCAATTTTCCGAGCTGGTGGTTTTCAACTGTATCCATTTCTGAACCCTTTACAATATTCCAGCAGTAGCGCAGACCCCATTAAAACACATTTAACTGCAGCGATAATACTTTCCTTAGTGGAACATTTAATGAAAAGCAACATCCCCAGTCAATTTGCTTCGTTTGCACCCTATCTTTCAGCTTAACATTAAACTTTCAGTGGTTGACCATGTCTACTTACAGCTAACCAGCTCCCCTCTCTGACCTCCTTCACTCAGCTCTGCTTTTGCAATACCAAGAGAGAATCTTTGTGTTTTCAACTTGTTTTGCCTTTTTCTGAAACAAGTAACCTGGATAAAATTTTAAACATATGCAATATTTTGATTGCCCATACCAGTCAACAGAAAGAAAAGAAAAGTCTGGCTGGAAGAGCTAGGCCGAGCTAATTCTTGTCTAGTGACTTCCACATGAAAGATGGAAAACATGTAGGGAAGATAGAATAGTGTTCACTGAATTAGTCCAGGTACCACATCTAATAAGATAGACCTAATCTTATTATCCGGACAACTGGAGCTCATGCATACCCACTCCATAGCAATCTTGGGCTGCATTACTTGGGAAAAGCCTGGGGAAATGTTTATTAATTAAACTTTCAAATAACAAGCATTGATCTGATCTGCTAATTGTGTACATAAGTACACAAAGAATGACAGAGGGTACCCACCCCATATGACAAAGCGTCCATCATGGGAGAAGTAGATGTTTGGAATCGTTATGAGATTGTTTCTAATTTAAACTTTTGCCTTTACACACCATCTTGATATGTTAAACTTGATGGATTTTCAGTTTACACTCTTGAAAGCTATATTTATGCTGCCAGGCTGATATGAAACATTTCAATGTGGTTAAGGATAAGGTCTGGCATGTTTAAATAGCACTCAGTTTTACTAAAAGCTTTGTTGCATTCAGCAGTATGCTTTATAAAATGATGCATTTATTTCACTGTCAAACTACCCCATGTTTTAAAGTGTTTGCACAAATTAATTCACTGACATTTTAATGGCAGTGCACCAGGGGAGTCTTAGTTCTGTTTGTTTGAATGTAGTCCCTGCACTCTGAGCCAGACAGAGTAAGTAAGTAAGAGCTGGGTTTGCAAAATAAGAGTTGTTACATCTCGGTTTTTTAAGTGCAAAATCAAAACTGCCATTGGCTTTGAATTCAGCAAAGGAAATATCTCTGCTTTCCCGGTCCGGTGTTGTAAAGAAGGCCACTGAAACACCAGGATATGACAAACACACGCGTGCTTTGAAGAGCAATATAAGATTATAAGTCTGAATTATTTTCCGTGACAGAGATAAGGAGAGAAGTAAACAACCAAAATAAATAGTTCTGTGATCAGTGGAGTCACTAAAGCCTGCTTTTAAACCTTCTCTACCGTGTGTAATAAAGTGTTTTATCCCTCAGGTGGGACATGGGAAGAGTTGGCTCTTGCCTGACCTCCTGCTCTCACAAATATATATGTCGGGGCCATCTATACCTGACAGCTGTAACTAAAATTGGCCAGTGAGTACAAAAGTTACTGAGGGTGTATGAAGACAGGCACGTGCCCGAGCTGCAGGACTGCCTATGGCTTCTTTCCTTAGGGACGGACGGGGGCACAAAGGCTTTTGCAGAGTGACAGGAGGGCCCTGTGGCCAGCAAGTTATCCTCGGGACGAAAGCTCAGTGCTCTGCCCGACCAGATTGCCTGTGTAATCTAGACGGGTCGTTTAGTGCAGGATTTCTAAGAGCGTTTAGTTCCTGAAAGACCAAGGCATTATCTGCTGGGGTTTTCAAAAGCCTCCAGGCTCCCGAGTTCTGTTGGTTTTGATCTTCAGAAATGAAGTTTGAGCTTAAATGGGATTTTCTGCTTCCCCTGGTTTATGCTACAGCAAGTGTGGCACAAAACTGGAGGTGACAGCACCGCTGGGATTAAGTCTAGAAGGGACATGGGAAGCAGGTTTCCCTCCATTGTGTTCATCAGCCGTGCGGGTCCACTCTTTACAACACCCAGCAAAGCAACGAGAGGAATCGCACCCACCCAAAGCCAGGAGGAAGCTCCCTGGGGATGGCGGGGCTCCCATAGTGGTGGCTGGGGTTAGAAGATTGATGGTTGTCAGTGTCAGTGCGTCACTGGAGATGGAGTCTCTTGGGGGTCACGGGATCCTTACGGAGCCACCTAGGAGGGAGGCCACTGCCATGGAGAAGGGATGTACAAAGACTGCTCCTTTAGGCAACCAGTCTTTTAGGCTATACTCCTATCATATTTCTAGGGCTTTGGGAAGTTTGCTCAGTGTGTTAACAAACATAACAAACTTTGTTTAGGCTTTTGTCAATACAACAAAGACTTGTCTTTCCATTATTACACCTTTTTTTTGGTGTTCATAAGAGACTTCATTAACACAGATAAGCTAGCTTGGCCAGTAAGGTGTTAAGGGGCTAAATCACCTGGATTTTCTGTGCTTTGACTTTTATTTCCCTGCATAAGTACACTGGCATTGGCACTGAGCACAGACAGACAGACAGGCTTTCACAGCCAAAGAAGTGACCATGCTGAGCCTCTAGAATTGTCCTCGCACAGGGGACAGGCAGCAGCCACAAAAGCATCAGAAGTCCCCCCAGTGTACAATAAAGGTAGTCCACAATGCATACTCATGGACACAGACCATCTTCAGGGAGAAGTCAACCTGTTCCCCTTTACACTGAGAAGACGAAGAGCCCTCAGCTAGCCAGCTGCAGGCTTGTGTGCTTGGGGTACGTAGCTCAGTCCCCAGGAGAACCTTTGCAGATAAGCACAGCAAAACCCTGGCATCATTACGGCTGAGAGGATTTCTATATGTTCCCTGGGGCTAAGATTTCATCCTCAGCCATCTCCATGTACTAACTTTCAAATGCTGTAGTACATGACGAATGCTTGTTGAATTATTAGTCACTGCACTTACATTATTGCCTCTCTGGAATTTTAGCTTGTGGTGGGCAAAGATGGTATGCTGGCTCAAATTAAAGGACATTTTTATACTCAGTCTGACATTATTAACATAAAGCAATGCAAAAAGTGAATGTCAGTGTTGCATGTGCTACTGTTTCAGCAAGTATTTAGCATGCCCTGGTCGGTATGATATCTGCTCACACCTCTCACAAGCTAAAGCTGCAAACACCCAGCACAGAATGATAAATTGCTTTTTTTCTTTTTTTTTCTCATGCCTGGGCTAGCTTCTTTAAAATGATAGTTTCTATCTTTTCCCCTTTATCCTTGTCTCCAGAAGGCTCTAGGATCAACTCAATATATCAGTAGCTGCTTAAGATGTGTGCATCCGGCTGTGGATGTACAGAAAAGAGGGCAGAGATCTGTAAAGTCCTATGGAGACAGATGGGTTTACAGCTCTTTGGGACACAGCTTATTTCAACTGAATGTTATTACAGTGGCACTTGAAAGCCCTGAGTAGGATAGAGGGACCACCCTGAGAGACCCTGTAGCTGTGTGCAGCAGAAACAAGTCCTTGTTCTGAAGACCTTGCGCTCTAAACAGAGAAAAGGGTGGGAGCAAAGTAATAGGGGAGAGAAATATAAGTATTTCCACTCTGCAGTAAAGGGATTGGTGCTGCTGGTTGCTAACGATACAACAGAAAGTCTGTGAAAGCCTCAGGAATGAAATGTAAGGGCCACTGTTCCCCTGTTTTCCCAGACAGTAGTGATGGTGGCAGAGTCCCATCGGGACTCTGCACTTCAGCAGCTCCCCACTCCGCGTGGAAAGCAGAGAAAGCAAAGAGCTCTCATTGTCCTGGGCCTTGACTCCTCGAGTCACTTCTCCCTTTTTAATCCAGCACTGCAAATGTAAGACTGACTCTTTCTTCCCTCCTTGTAATTTTGCCCTCCTACTTCAGGTAAGTTCCCATGCAATCATTTCGTGCAGCTACTATAGAGATGCTGTCCATGTAGATACTTTGCCGTGACGTACAGAATTCATATCCTCTATTTTACTACGGGATATCACAGGGTAAGATTACACGTGCGGTAATTTCACACCCTGCCTTAGCTCTTGGGATCAGGTGTGTTTGTAAACATCCTTGATCTTCAGTTTATAGCAAAGAATCACAAGGGAAAAAAAATCATCTGCCATATCCTCATTTTCTAATAACAATTAACATCCCTGATTCTTTTGGCATTGTGGCTTTGCAAACTTTTGTCCTCACGAGCCAGATTTGCATTTCAGATCGTAGATTTCCCCAGATATACAAAGCATCCCTTTTCCCAGATCAAATCTTATCCTGTAGCATAGAGACTAAACTGCCTTTCCAAAGGTACAAAGCCAATCTATAAAAAACCATGGGAATAGAAACCAGACCTCCTGGCTGTCAGCCCCAGGCTGCACTGATATCTGGCTGCATTGGGGCAGCAGAAATGGCAGATCTTTCTTGGGAAATTATTGGAAGGGGAAAGAAGTTGGAGGAAATGAGCCGCTCAATGTCTACAAGCTTCAGATCTCCTATTCCCCAGCACCTGATCAGAGATTAGCCACTGGGGATGGAAATCTTAATGGAGCAGCATAAAAGCTATTTGCTACCTGCAAGCACTACCAGGAAGGTTTTTGTTCTAGCTGTAGTTTATGGGGTTTTATTGTTTTCAAGCTCTGCCAGTTGGAAAATAATTTCTGTAGCTTGCATTCCTCTCCCTTCACTGTCCTATAAATATGAAAAAAATCTACACTCTTCTGTAATGGTACAGTTTTTCACTTTGCTCTGAAGGGTCACGTTTCTAGGCACAGATGCATCATGCATACTTAACATGATATTGCAAAATATGTGGGCAGCTCCTTGTTTGCTTGCATACCAAGCTGTTCTTTAGGTACAAACACAGATTTTGTGCCAACAATCAAGGCAGTCCCATCTGAAAATCCTTTATAAAATTGCAATGGTAGATATCTGCTAGTGGAACTCAAAGGATACCCTTGAGAATATCAGAAATGAGCTTTTTTTTTTTTCTTTTCTTGTTTTTAGATGGTTAGATATAATAAGTTGCTCTGAAATCCAGGTGACTGATGCTAAACTTACACCAAATATAATGTTGCTGTTTGCAGGATAAAAGCTATATTCTGATAAGGCAGGGGAAGAGTTGAAGCCTTCAACCTCCGAACTTTTCAGGGAAGCAGCAGGGAGCCAGCAAGGCTTGCTGGGCTTTGCAGAGCAGAAGAGCTGGATACCTGCGTGTCTTGGGAGCAAAAGGATTTGCTAGGAGGGAGCGAGGGAAGGAGCTGGAGATCTGGCTGAGGCTGAACGTACCCTGAAGAAGGATGCACCTCAACTACTTTTTAAAAATGGATTTAGGGCTCAGTTTGCTTTGGCGTAAAGTCGAGCTATTTTCTCATAATAAACAGTTCAACTCAAAGCAGAAATACATGAAATGCTGTTCACAGCTGATGTCCAGTGCAGAGGAATGAAACAGCAGCAGCATGTGCTAACTTTCCACAGGGATCTCTTGGAAAAGGTACACCTTTTAAGAGGGCATTTATGGCCCTATAGACATTGACCCTGAAGGAGATTTTTAGGCAGTACTATAAACTAAACAATATTAACGCTATCTTTTCTTACCATGGTATCAGTATATTCTTCCAGCTTTGCTTCAGCAACCGTCTTGTTATGCTGCAAAAATAGATCTCGCAGGAAATCCTGTAGTAAGGAAAGACAAAGTTTACTCTTTAGAGTAAATTCAAGAAATAACAGTAAGAAATTTTATCCAAATTCAGCAGGGTTACATAAATCTAATTTCACATTCCTGATTAGTATTAGTGTCTTCAATTTCACATAAAATTCACATATTCTCAGTTGAAACATATTTTTTCAAATAAATTAGAAAATAACCACATTTCCCCAGAGCAGGCATACTGGAATAAATCATAATTAACCCTCAAAATAAGCAAAAGATAACGTAAGTCCTGCAATATTTGCTATCTGATCTCAAATCAAAATATTTGCCATTCAGCAAAACACTTAAGCATCCGTTCATGTCTCCGGTGGGGCTCAGGCTGGAGCCACACGCCGAGAGGTCAGCGCAGGGTCTGCAGCCCAGGAATGGTTTCTGAACAGGCTTCTGCTTCAATAGCCTGAGCTTTAAAAAGAAATCAGTGTTCAGAAGATCTGCAGGCTTGGGAAGAGGTTATGAAGAAATCCCATCAATAAAACACAACGGCTATGTCTCTGTTTAGCTGGGAGAGGCACATGTGCAAAGCCAAGTTGAGGCATGCTTAGGGGGCTCCCTTGGGTGCTCGGGGGGCACCGAGACAAGTGGGGTCATGCAACGAGGCAAGGGGAAGCAGGACAGCAGGGGCAACAGCAGAGCATCCTCCCTGATTTGAAGGGGGAAAGGGATAAAACCAGGCTCGCTAGAGATAACCCTGGGGGCAGCACGCCAATGTTTGAGGGATGGTGTGCTAGCGTGGTCCTTCGGTCTGCCGTCTCAGTGGAGGTAGGGGATGGAGATCCACACAGCAGCAAAGTCACAAGGGTTATTGATGTATTAGAAACCATGGAAGTGCCTCAGAACAGAATTAGGGCTTCTGCCCCAAAAAAGGTGGCAGGATCAATAGCCTAACTGAAGTGCATCTACACCAATGCTCACAGCAGGGGCAACAAACAGGAGGAGCTGGAAGCCATTGTGCAGCTGGAAAACTATGATATAGTTGCAATCACGGAAACATGGTGGGATGACTCCCACAACTGGAGTGCTGCAATGGATACCTATAAACTCTTCGGAAGGGATAGGCAAGGAAGGAGAGGCGGTGGGGTAGCCCTGTGTGTTAGGGAGTGTTTTGGCTGTCTAGAGCTTGACGATGCTGATGAAAGGGTCGAGTGTTCATTGGTCAGAATCAGGGGGAAGGCCAACAAGGCAGATATCATGGCGGGAGTCTGTTACAGACCCCCCAGCCAGGATGAAGAGGCAGATGAAGTATTCTATAAGCAGTGGGAGAAGTCTCACTATCACTAGCTCTTGTTCTCGTGGGGGACTTCAACTTACCAGACGTCTGCTGGAAATACAATACAGTAGAGCAGAAACAGCCCAGGAGGAGTGGTTGGAAGGTAACTTCCTGACACAGTTGGTGAGGGAGCCAACTAGGGATGGTGCCCTGCCGGACCTGTTGTTTGTGAACAGAGAAGGACTTGTGTGTGATGTGATGGTCGGAGGCTGTCTTGGGCACAGCGATCATGAAATTAGATAGAGTTTTTGATTCTTGGAGACGTAAGGAGGGGGATTAGCAGAACTGCTACCTTGGGCTTCTGGAAGGCAGACTTTGGCCTGTTTAGGAGCCTGGTTGACAGAGTCCCTTGGGAGGCAGTCCTGAAGGGCAAAGGAGTCCAGGAAGGCTGGACATTCTTCAAGAAGGAAATCTGAAAGGCCCAGGAGCTGGCTGTCCCTATGCGCCGAAAGACGAGCCAGCAGGGAAGAAGATCGGCCTGGCTGAACAGAGAGCTTTGGCTGGACGTAAAGAAAAAAAAGAGGGTTTCATGGTCTTTGGAAGAAAGGGCAGCCAACTCGGGAGGACTACAAGGATGTCATGAGGTCCTGCAGGGAGAAAATTAAAAGGGCCAAAGCCCAACGAGAACTTAATCTGCCTACTGCCATAAAAGACAATAAAAAATATTTCTATAAATACATTAGCAACAAAAGGAGGGCTAAGGAGAATCTTCATTCTTTATTGAATGCAGGGGGAAACATAGTGACAAAGGCTGAGGAAAAGGCTGAGGAAAAGGCTGAGGTACTTAATGCCTTCTTTGCCTCAGTCTTTAATAGTAAGACCAATTTTTCTCCAGGTACCCAGCCCACTGAGCTGGAAGACAGGGGCGGGGAGCAGAATGAAGCCCCATAAGGCTTGGGGAAGAGTGACTGGAAAGCTGCCTGGCAGAAAAGGACTTGGGAGTATTGGTCAACAGCTGGCTGAATATGAGGGGCC